TCAGAGCCTTTTAATTATGAGTTGTATCTGGTGTACATTTGGTATCTGTTTCGGATTGAAAACTAACCTAATGTTGACATTTTTACCGGATACCAAAAAGGCGTTCATTGTTGTTGCCCAGGTTTTTAGGCTGATTTTCTAAATGGATACGACATACAATGTTCGCTCGTATCAGAAAAAGAGGGAATGAAATTTAAATTGAGGGGCAAAATGCCATCGCGTTGAGGTAATAAAGAAGTTGTGTGGAGTTTTGGTCGAAGGAGCAGTACATACCAGGTCGAGAGTTTTGCGAACGTCAAGTTGATACTTTTTCTAAAGGGTTACAATGGGAATTCACACAGCGCCATTGGATTGATGATATGAATAGAATATCGACTGTGGTCTGTTTCAAGTGAAGTAAACAGTAAAAGAAAGAATTGATCGTCTTTGCTAATCAACCGGCTAGGTTTTCGCTGAAATGATGGAATGTCTCTGGAGATTAACATTAATTCAAATTTTAACCGTAGCTTTACCATAGGTATACCAGCCAGGGTGGGCGTACAGGTTGACTGTGAGTATTTTGAACGGAACGGAGTACTGTAGCAATGCATAAATTTTCAACTTAAAGTGAAATAAACGAAATAATCTATTGCATTCTACTGGGAATCCTGAAGACGTGATTGGTGCTTCATCCGTCACCGACTGGACCGGGTCTAACAAAATTCCGTCCAGTCTGAATGAACAAACTTTTTGTCAGTGAGTTACCGAGCGAAGACGAATGGCACAGTGGGATTTCATTGTTCGACGCCCCAACCGGGAACATCATACCCTTGACCGTTAACCGAGTCTGCCTAAGACGAGAATGAACGAACCAGGCGGTAACTGACCGCAATCGGCCTGGTAAGGAAGCGAATCACATCAAGACAAATAGATAAATTGATCATCAAGCTCAGATGTGAATCTCGGCATGAATCACTGTATGAGTTGAATCTTCCGAGGCCCTCAATAGCCCAGTGAGTAAATTTCATTGTGACAGAGGTTCTCTAGAACCAGATACAATCACCTGTGTATTTCTGACGTTGAAAAACACACTTGACGATATACTTTACAATGGTACAAGGATAGAATGTACGAATCAACTTTATTTCACCTCAATAACAAGATCCAATTTGAACATATTCATTCGCTCATAGAAATCATATTTTTTCCCTGCAATTCCCGAAATGACAAATGAATTCTATCTACAATATCTTTGACGACAACCTGTCACCTACAGCTTCTCTCTCTATTACTTTGCTGCATGGTATCGGTTCTTATCCCTGTTGCATCATTTATCATGCTCGTCGCATCTCTTTGAGGACTGATTACATCGGTACGATCCTTGTAAGCCAGTGAGGCATGTGATGAAACGAATAACTCACAGCTATCCACGGTTTTCGAAAATGGTCATCTTATCTGAAGGAACAAAGTTTACAGGTAATTGAACGGTGTCTTATCACTGGTTGCAACTTGTTCCTATTCTAAACAAAGCTAAGAAATCGAAACACAATGTTCCGAAATCAGTGAAACCATTGATTTCACCTCTGTTTGCATTTCGTGGAATTTATTTTAACAGCTTAGGGCTTTTCATTCAATTTTTATTGAAAACTGATGACAACTTAAGTAGTTGATCAAATGTAGAAATAGATGGGCGTGTTTGCAAACAAGGAGATGAGAGAAATAATGTTGTATTATGATACCTAACTTTGGGTCGGGTCTCATCAACAAGGAGAATATCCAGTGCTGAGATTCGCGACCCTTGCCACCTGCATAAAGTCCGCCAATACTCGTTGTACTGTAGCTTGCATATATAAAATGGAAAACGGTTTGATCATCTGCTTGGTGGTCAAGGGGATAGGTTGATTTTGTTCTACTTGTGACTTCTGTGGTTTGATCCTCTTTTGGGTCGATGGTTTCACTCTATTGATGGAATCTGAAGGATCAGAAACCGCAACGGCGGACTCATTTGAAGTTACAGCAGTTTCTTTTGAAGTTGAAAATTTATGTTTGTTTCGTTCGGACTTTATTTCGGTTGTAAATTTTTGTGTAAGACGAATCAGTTCCCATCTTGTCCCCAGTCTCGATCAAGTGTCCAACAAAGGAACTTGAGATAATCTTGATGTTCCATGATGTGTTTAGATAGCCACCATTTCAATTTACAACTGTAGTCAACTTGTCTTAGCGGGCACGCGAACATCAGACCTTCGAACATTGTCAAAACATTTTTCCGTGAGCCACATGGTTTTATATCAATAATGTCATATGAATAATGTGGTAGGCACGTGATTTAAAACACACTGAACACTTAATTGAATCGCGAAATATGTCCAATGATTTAGAACACACAATTTAGACGAACATATGTTTTCAGTGTATTTCTTCTCAAGTCTTTACAATCAGTTTAAAGTATCACGTTTGGATTAACCCGAACGATGGTTCAGATGCATCAGGCACTCTCTTGATGATTATGGCTGCGGGTTTCAGAACCAAGACCATCAAGAGTGCCTCTTATCTCGAATGGGCTAATTGAATTATGATACTCTAAGTTGATTCTGCCATTAGCACAAGATGACGACTGTCTACCGTACAGCTCAGGGGTATGTATAGTATGTATGGTCCAACAAGAATGTTCGCGGTTCGATCCCTGACAGAGACATAAAAACTACGCACTGCTGGCGAGTTCCAAACAAGACGAAACAGCTGATCAGTGATCTTTGCGGTCATCAAAAATATTTCCTTTACACTCATGTTTATATGGAATAACATTAGGGCCACAAAGAAGAAAGGTGGATTAAGCATGAGTTTGGTAATCAGCCCAACAGAACTCCAAATTAGTAAGCTAATTGGATTACCTAACCAAAATTTGCTATGTTACGTCATGGTCATATAAACAAGCGTTTTTCTCTTCCCTCGGTCAGGGGAGTTTGAGAGCTTGGATCAGCTTCTGGTCTTCACACAGCTCAGGCTTCATGAGTTAGATGCTGATCACCTCTGCGGTTGCTAACTTCCGAAACCGTATTGCGCACGAGGGGTGTGGTGAGAGTTGATACATAATTGTAAATGCCGAGTGCATGTCAAAAAAGTGTCCCGTCACTAACAAGTGATCAGTAATTGAGCTTGATGCAGCTACACTCCCACCACGTGTGAACTAGTGTGGATTGTGCTCTTTGATACAGGGAGGTGACTGCCTTGTTCTTCACTTGTGTTGGCTCATTCTGCTCAGTGCAGTTGCGGTTGATGAACTTCCCTGGATAGCCGTTTTCCAGTAACGTTCTCTTCACTAGATCGATTTCGTCCTCTCGAACGAATACACTTTGTTTTCTGCAGGAGACGGTGTACGAGGTTACGTTTTTGATAGAGTGAGACGAAGCTATGAAAATATTTGCACTATCCATTAGATGTTGGTCTTCGATATATCTTGCTTTGGACAGTGTCACCGCAGCGTTTCAACTATTATTTCAGTCTCTTGGTTTGTATCTAGTGTTCAGTTCGAACTTCAGGCTTCTCTGAAACTGCTTCTATTTGCTGTGGAACAGCACACAGACACACAGTCGAGTAACATGTTGCACTTATGTCGTCACTGGATACACACATATAAGCCGGTTTGGCCACCGGCAATCATTAATGTTGAAAGACAGGAGTCAAAGATTCGAACTTCAAGCTTCTCTGAAATTGCTTCTATTTGCTGTGGAACAGTTCAATATCGCTCATTTGTCTATGCCATTCCCACCTGATTGCCGTGACAGATTTTCGCTTCTCATTGCAGAAGAGGCAGTCTTTGCTACTATCAGATTCAATTCTTCTTTCTTTTGATCAAACGAAAACGTTAAATACGAAAACTCCTCTCGTTTTCTAAAATTTTACTCAAACATCGTTATTTCTTGCTTTTAGATTCAAAATGATTTGTTAATCTCGTTCTCTTCAGCTGTTCACATTCTATTGCACCGCATCAGTGATGCAGCAAGGGAGATATGTTGTAATCATACGGATACTTTCATCCGACTTTTTGAGGATACACTAATCCGACTGGCTGACCACATAAGCCATCCTGACTGCCACCCCTTAATCGGCTAGATATACACAGAACTGTATTTCAGATGTGATGGATGCTTCGCAGCAAAATATGTTTTAGATCATAACCAGACCGTTATTCGCCGCAACAAAATTTCAAGGCGAAGTGTAATATTTTTAACCTCTATATGAAGGCATTATCAGAAAATATCGTAGTTTCAGTAACTCGATTTTAGTGATATAAACAGACAAAATGGCATTGCTCATGCGATATAATCTATCTTTATAATTGTGTATCCCAGCTCTGGCTTCTGTTTTCGCCTCAATACATTTCCCGACAATTTTACATTCACTTAAGGACTTGCAGCATTACTGCGTTTTATAAGTTTGTAAACCATCCAGGAATATACCTACATACGCACTCATATGGTAAGCGATGCAATCAAATGAAAATGAATGAAAATGGCATCCAAACGCATATATTCAGATAATTGTGAGCAAAACTTTGTGATTACAAAACTGAGTCATAAGAGTCAATGATTATCAGGCTGATCGTATTGTTATTGGCTCAAAATTGAATATTGTCAATAAATCTGAGCGCAGTCGAGCTCTCACTACACCACTCAAAACCTGCATAGCAGACAAACACAATCCTGTGTCTGCTTGTCGATTTGCTGTTCGAGAGTCGCTTATGTGCACAAACAGTGTGGGCACACATCCGCACATTCGCACGCATACAGGTACGCGCGGTCCTACTCGCGCAGGCGTTTCGTGCTATAACATGTTTGCGGAGCTAGAAAACTGTGGCTTCCTCACACAGTCGAGTAACATGTTGCACTAATGTCGTACTGAATACACACATATAAGCCGGTTTGGCCACGGGCAATCATTAATGTTGAAAGACAGAAGTCAAAGGTTGTGATCGGCCAAATAGAGCTTACAGTGCGACTTGTACAAACCTCCGAAGAATCATGACATACGCGACGAGAACTCCAAGACGCAAGAAAGTGAACAAGCCATCATTTGATTATCAGGTCGATGAAGAGAATGGATATGATCAATCAGATGTGGAGAGTACTCAACCGTCCAGCATGGACGCATCCGATCCGGAGTGTCGTAAGAAAACCGAGTCGGATCCATTCTATCAAGTTTATCACAAACCCGCTGTCAATCATCCTNNCTATGCATGTTGGCTCTCTGTGTATCGATTACTGTTATTGTGTTAGACTCGCTCCTTGTTTCTCGAGATCCGCAAAAGACTTATGTAGGCACCGGTTTGTGGGCGGGATCAGCCGGGCTTTTGAATAGCGCTGTAGGCATGATATTTCTACACTTTCAAAACAACTGTTTTGCCATTGTGGTTCTCAATACGGACACGGGGGCTCTGTGTCTGAACGCGTTCTGCGCATTCCATAGTATTCTGTTTGTTGTGTACGGCCGGCGCGAGGAATCATCTGCATGGGCCAAACAAATCGGAGTATCTGTTTTATGCCTGGTCTACATCTGTCTGATTGTGGCACATTTCATCCTTATGAGTATGGCCACGTGTACTCGGTTCAAACGGAAATCGACCGGTTCTATCTCTTCCAAATGATCCCCTCCCCTCCGGGTGTGTGTGGCCGCGGTTGGACAACGGTGCATGTGTATGCATCATGTTACTCGTAGTGTGGAATGGGGCCACATCACGTCTTTCCATATTGGACCATCCGGTGATCTCAGTCAGTGTCAGTTATCGACCACAGAAATGGAATAAACGCACACGTCATTTGTGTATAGCAGTTTACCTTTAATTTATTTCCACTCACCATTTCTATGTACAGTTCTTCGTGTGCATATGAAGACTCCTTTCTTTTCGTGAGTTTGGACAGCACATTGGAAAAAGTATGCATTTCAAAAGGTTTTATATTCACCATCTGATTGGATGAATAGGCCTAACTGGAGCTGTGGTTAGATGGAGAAATCTGTTTCAACGGTTACTATATTTTACAATTAGTAAATGAATTTTTCACTTGTAATTACTTGAGTAGGAGTTTTAGCACCCAGAGTAACCTATTCCTCAACCGATAGACTTGGTAAAGATGTACACCCATAGGTGTCTTTTGGATGTAACCTAAAGTGTGATCATTAATCAGTGTGACTTAGGATCTGACATCGTTTCACAAAACAATCGAAGGTTAAAACCCACTTTATAATTTATCCGTTAGTTGATCAGACTGACCTACTCTTAAAATACATGATACTGGCATGGTTTATCTTTTTGAGTCTGTGTTGTGGTAAACTTTGGATTTAACCACTCTTTCCAAACTGGCAGTCAGTACTACTGGCTACCCAAAACCTTTTCCCCACATGCAGCCTCATTTTTATTGCCCAACTGAATTGAATTAGTGGTATTTAACCGAACTGAAGTAACTGTACACGGTCGCAAAGCTGATAGACGGAAAACGAGGTATGCGTAATAATAGATCTGATTGGTTTACATGAAATGTAAGTGAGTAAATCCTATTATTCGGAAAATCCCAACATGAACGTATATTCTTCCCTGTATTTATCTGGTCCAGTGTCAGTTGTGTGTGTGGATGTCAGTGCGGCAATTCAACTGGCCGGTTTTTCTTTCTAAACTGTGAATTTTAAATAAAACATTCCACGTGCTGTACTGCTTTCGGCAAAACTCTTCTTTTAGTGGTTTCGGAAACCCGATCAGAGGCCCACAATTCAGTGATGTCACATCTTACGGTCTGAAAATAAATTTTAGTTCAGCGATGAATCCGTTGAGCGAATTAATGGCGATACTAATAGGGAGCAACTTTGTTTAGATCAAATCAGTTTTGTATCGCTGGCTATCCTCCGTGTTACACCAACTGATCAAAGTTACACAAGCATTGTTTTATATGCCGCTGTAATTTGTGAACAGATAGACATGCGCAACAAACAGAATTTCATGAAAGTAAATTAGATCCAATCACATTTTTAGAAATAAATTATGGTTTATTGTTCGGGAGCAACAATAATACAGGGATCGTACTTTCTTTGGATTCGCATTAGGCAAAAGGAAATCATCTTCATTCCACTTAACCACGCGTTCAGATGTCACCAGTCAATCGTCTAGCTGCTCACTTGTGTCCGTTCTAAAGCAGCACCAGTGTAGATTCCTGCCCGCCTAATGTTTATCTGGCACGGTTGAGAAGATTTTCGAGGATATACTTTTTTGGTGAGGCCTACAGATACTAATTATCGATAAGGAAATCATTTAGTGTATTGGCTTATTTGACTGACACCAATGATATGTTATCTCGGAGTAGATGAAAGCTGGGTAATATGGCTCTAAGATTGGCCCAGTGAGCAATGTTCGTTTGGATTACGAACTACCTCATTTTTCAGTCAGTGAATTTTACGTGATGTTGAAGTTGATTAGATAAAATGTTTAGCATGCTTTTACATAAAAATAAGGGCCACACTTCTCAATTTTACTGATTAATTATACCCGTAATAAACATGAAGAAATCGTTCGCTTTTTCGGTATATCAACATAGAAACAGGGTGGTGAGGATCGATCGGGGTTATCCAGTTCTGGACACACACTCCACCGAGATGCAGATCGTCTAGGAAACGTTCAAGGTTGAACTGATTGGGAAGTGAATTATTGTGAACAATCTAATAAATGTGTGCGGTGTACGATCATTGATTTTTTGTTCATTATACCTATTTACGATCGTTATCATTTCTATAAAAATGTTTCACCACGGTTTCTAATACCTTATGGACGTTAAAGGGAAACCAAATTTCATTTGTTCATATGGAAAATTTCGAGGATACTGCCATACACTCCCTTTTACGTGCGCATTTTTGTTGTTCTTAGTGACGCTTGTGTTGGGCAGCAGATCAGCTTAGTTGATGTGTGACTTAATGGAATTCCGTTCATTTGTCCACTAGCAGTGCGACAATGCAAACATGGGAAAAGACACCTGAGAAGCATTTGATGATCAGTTCATCATGGTTCTAAGCTGAGAAACCTGCGTTAAGACTTTATTCTGAAATCCTTGCATTCTTCTTCACTCCCCTCAATTCAGGCAACAGCAAGATGAAGAGAGCGGTCAGGAAGTATTTAAAAATACGTTCCTTGAGGTAGAATGACCATGGAAAAAATTAGAGCGTACTTCTTATGTGGCTTTCCGGATAAAATGATAAAATTTGTCAAGGTTTGTCACATATAAACCAAATAGCCAAAATATGTTCCAAAAGTACGATCAGCTAAAGAGGAGGGATAAGTTATACTTGATTTTAGTCAAAACCAGGAACAACGGGACATTAGGGAAAAACTGATGTTGATATCCAAACCGTCGAATGTTTTCCTATGAGACTCTGGATTTAAAATTTTTTATTGGAACCATTAAATGGCCATGTGGATTACCGAGTTGGTGATAAAATACTGGTTCGTGAACTTCAGATGTGCAGGTTTTATGAACGTTCCGTGAACCATTAATGATCTAAGTGACTAAGTGGGAACAATGGAAGTTAAGACATATTTTCGTGAGTGAATAGGACAGTTAGCAGATGTGTGTGTACAACTAGCCTGTTGAATAAGAAAATGTGAAAAGGTTTATTTTTGTATTAAACGAATCTAATTTTACAAAGTAGAACTAGAATAGTTGATAACAATTTCAGAAAAACGTAGCCCACAAAACACAATACGATGTGGCGCGAACGCTGAAAACGATGGAGCAGGTCGGAGCCTAGTTTGCAGAACTCACTTCATACTTCAGTAATTTATTGATTTGCACGCAATTTCCAGAGAGGGAAACGATAAAGAGGTAACTGGGTTACTGCATTGAGAATGTTACCTCGATTGGTGATGAAACGTTTGAAATACAATTGCCAAGCTCGGCGAACAACTGAACACCATAAAATGTGGTGTATTAGCCAGTTGATGAGTCACCGAAAATAGGCTTATTCGCTAAACTACGTTTTAATTCAATGTGTGTCGTTGGTATATTCTGGGACTGGAAAGTATTACGCTTTGCATTTGAGTTCAAACAGGAACGAAATACCAAATCGGTAGTCCTTATCAGTCATCGTATACAAGCCTCTCAAAACAGTGTTTGATTGTTTTTATCCCATAGAACGGTGCTTCGAGTAACGACACATGAGTGTTGTACAGTTTTAAATATATCTATAGATTTCGTTATGAAATAAATAGTGGAAGATCCGGTCACGAGCGGTGCACAAGATACGATCGCCGAAGTTGATCACCTAATTGACATTGAGCTGAAAAGGCGAGGATTAAAGTAAATTGCAAAATCTCTAGGGCAAACTGATGTTGTATAAAAGTGACTGACGCATTTTGAAGAGCTCCGTAGAACCAGTCCTTACTCCATGTAAGAAATTGACCCGGAAAATGTAACCATTGCCGATTGCAAAGGAGAATAACATGAGGATTGAATTCAGATGCGGAAAAGCATGGTTAAGCAAAATAATCGGAGGGATTTACAAATATGACGAACTAAAGTACCAACCTCATCAATTGTGCAGGTCTATATGCAGTGCATGTGAAACTGACCGAAGTCGATCGGAATGATGGAGTGTGACTGGTAGCTTCAAAGTAACATTCGTTTTGCTAACTTAGTTCCGGTAAGAGTTTGTGCATTGTGATGAATTGTTTGATATTTGCCGTTATGATTGCATAAAAACGAGCTACTCCTGAGACATATTTAAATTCGAATGGAATCTTCTTCATTAAAGGTTTTTTGAACTAGGTATTAGTTGACTATTTTGCAGTCATGGGTTCATGCGTATTCTTGTTTATCCCTTAATAAATACTTTTCTTATCGTACTATTTGTTTTAGTTATAATTGCACGTACGTACAACATAGTCAATCCGTAAAACAACAGCCACTCAGAAACCCGTAGGAAAACTGACGGGTATTCATAGGTCCTTTTCAAACACGTATTGAGAATGTCACCTTACTTGGCGATAAAACACTGACAGCTGAACTGTCCATCTTCGCAAACAGCGGAACACCATAAAGTCGAGCAATACAATTTCATTCGAATCTCAGACGCAGGTTGCAAGCCGGAGACATTCTTCCCCTTTTTTCTATCAAGTAAGGTGAATCCAGCTAGGTATGTGTAGGATAAATCGTGAAGAAAAAAATTGAATCCTATACATGCAGTACCCCGGATATTTCCTCTGCATTGCAATCGGTGCTTTGAGATGGACAAACAAATACGTTCCTCAAACTGGTTATGTGGAATTTGAATGAAATTTCAACTGAAAATTGGTGGATGAGCAGAAAGGCGTTTCTGTTGGCAGAAAGTAAGAAATTCTCTTAGTCGACGGCATCTACATGGAAAATTTACTAGTTTTGCATTTCACGCTTCGTGAATCAGTCTAGAATCTTTGTCATTATCTGATTGGTGTTGCGTCACCGGTGGATACCAAGCATTTGATGATGTTTCGGGATGTTTGATGTCTTCCATGAACCGAAAAGGTAAAAAATGAGACGGTAACTGAATTGCTTCCTATTGTTCTTATCGTTTTTATGCACTGAGTCGTTGATTAAGGCGCTTTGACATTGGGATCCGTTCGGGTGCATAACT